ATGCCCACTAGGACATTGTGAGAGAGCTGAGGCTTCAGTCCTTACTAGGTCGGGTTCAACCGCCGTTACAGGTGTTACTGAACTACGATTCCATCGATAAAACTGAGTCGATTTTCGACCAAATAATTGCACGTGTCGGTAGCGTGGATAGTTTCCTCGTTATTACGATATTGAGACAGTATGAGAGGAGCAGGTGTACGTATTCGGTTTGGCCTTAGCAGCTACAATCACAATGCATAAGGCCGGAGTTCAGGCACCCACTTCGAGACCCTATAGGGCAAAGCCCAGGCTCGAAAAGGTATTGTATTGTATTGTATTGTATTACACTTTATTTAATTGTGTTGTATTGAATCTTTAGCGAGTTATATACAAGCTTTCAGCAAAACACAGACCACCATCACAATACTGGCAGAAGAAGGTTGAAGTGGGACATAAAACGTGCAAAAGTATAAATCAACTACTAAATACAATAGAAAGCTAAAAACGAACATTTTCCTTGTATGTCAGTACCGGGACAACCTAGGGTACTAGAGAGTTTCTGTATGCAGATATTCGAGTTGGGATGAGTTTTGTATTTGGAACGACTGGAGGGATGAGATTTCCATGCACACAAGTCAATGTGCAAACGATGGATGCAATCAGATAGAACATTGTCAGCAAATTTCAAGCACGCATAAACATCGGTATTACACATTGCCAATCAGAACAGATAGCGGAACTTGGGAAACACGGCTGATCATTGATAGGCACAATCTCCACACGTTTGATAGAAGCCGCTCCGCGCAAACCATCCGAGGCTTTGGATGACCCCAATGAGTCGTATCGCCTTTTCCATCGTACCTATAAACTAGAACATCACAGATGCATTACACCTTGCACCTACGCGACGAAAAAAGAATAAGGCAGCAAATGAAAGCTGTCGTACTTGTTGGGCTACCTCCTCAAGTTAACCCTCTGATTTTGGTACGTGACTATAATAAGAACGCCAGGTTCCTCGTAGATACAGGAAACCAAATTTCCGTTTTTTCTGTTGGTAGCAACAACTTACGAGCTACGACACTTTGGCTCTGCGCTACCAATGGCAGTGTCGTTCCTATCTCCGGGATAAGTGTGGTAATTGTGTATAAACTGAACACTCTTGTTTCTCTACATGATCGATTGCTTTGTACAATTTCGGCGCGGAAAATAATTCGACTTTGAATATTATGGTGTTTATTTCATGCTGCGTACTAGTTCGGTTGGAGCTTAACTGCGTGGATTTATTGCAATTCGAATTCCGATACCAAGTACAGGTTATCACAGTTGGCGTCGCAGTCGACTTGTATCGCATTATGGACACCTGCAACCTGGAAATTCTTGATATTCATTCGAATTCACGTTGTGTGGAAGATTATTTGGAGCGTTTTGAAACTTTGTGCCTCACCCGCAAGAGTCTGGACATCGAGAGGAAGATGACACATTTTCTTACTGCTGTTGGAAAAAAAGCTTATGCACTGATTAAAAATTTGGCATTCCCAGAGTCACCCATACAACTGAAGTGCGAGGAATTGGAGGATCTGTTACTGAAGCATTTCCAGACAGTCCAGTTCGAAGCAGCTGAGCGGGCGAAATTCCATTGCCTCTCTTGTGATTCTAATCAGTCTGTTCGAGACTTCATTCTTCAGCTGCAGACTCAGGCTGCTCGCTGTAATTTCAAAGATCAGTTTCAAACTCAGCTCCGTGATAGACTCACTGCTGGAATTAACTGTTCTGAGCTACAGTAGCAATTACTGTTGATTCCAAGCTGCACATTTCAAATCACAAAGTTGGTCTGTGAACAATATCAGGATGTACGTGCGGCCGTACGTGAAGAGCCGAAAGTATTGTTCAGTCACAATCGTGGTTCAGTGCTTGAAGCTCAACAGACGTGACAGTTCAAAAGTGTAAACAAAGTCGTTAATCGTAGTCCGACGTCCACACAACCTGTAACTAATAACATCCGCCATTGGAACCCCTGCAAATTATGCGGTAGGCGACATTCTTGACTGAATTGAAAAGTTTGCAATGCCAAGTGTCACAAGTATGGTAAGTCTGGGCATATCCATTCTGCTTATCGAAGCACGTGTAATTGTTTGACACAGAACTCAGTCCCTGTTTCATGCTTGTCCACCGAGTTTCAGTCCCTTGCTTTATCCGTTAACAGCTCAAACAAGTCTCAACACATTACTCGTACATTCACAGTCAATAATTGTTTTCGTCATTCATTCATCATACACACAGGTAGTGTGAATTCGTTTATTTCAAAGACTGTTCTTCAGCGTTTGAAACCACGTGTGCATCTTAATACAACTGACATTTCGGTTAAAGGTATAACTGGCCGTAACTTTCTTGTTTTGGGTTCATGTGAACTACTTCTTACTGATGATGAACAGCACACATTCAATTGTTTCTTTCTTGTTATTGATTCCGACATTTCTATTATTGGCCTCGATTGTATGAAATGCATCGAACTTTCTCTTTCATTTTTCACTGATGAGCAACAGTCTCGACTTCGTCAGTTGGTTTTTAAATGCTCCAACAATAAGGGTGGAATTAAAATGGCCCCAATTCACTTGGAAGTTGATGGTTCCCCAATATTTCTGAAACCTCGCATTATACCATTTGGTCTTCGTGAATCCGTGAAGAAAGTTTTGGACGATTTGGTTGAGAAGGGTCTATTAACGCCTGTGGATAATTCTGTTTGGGCTACCCCTACTGTGGTTTCGTTGAAACGTGATGGTAAAATACCCAGAGTTTGTGGGGATTACCGTATCACATACAATAAATATTTAAAGCAAACTAGCTGCTCAACCATTGAACCTGAAGACATCCTCCATCAACTTCACGGATTAAA